GTGCACGAGACCATGTTAAAAAACAATAGAGGCCCGGAGTGCACGAGACCATGTTAAAAAACAATAGAGGCCTGGAGTGCACGAGACCATGTTAAAAAACAATAGAGGCCTGGAGTGCACAAGACCATGTTAAAAAACAATAGAGGCCTGGAGTGCACGAGACCATGTTAAAAAACAATTATTTTTCGAGCAGGGCACGGAGACACATGCCTTTAATCCTAGCACTCGGGAGTGTGGAGTCAGGAGGCAGAGGCAGGAGGAACTCTGTGAGGTTGAGACCAGCCTGGTCTACACAGCAAGTTGCAGGTCACCTGGGGGTATGGAGAAACCTTGTCTTTAAAAACAAAAATTAAATATATATAAGAATGCTTAAATTTATTATAAATTATTTTACTCAGGGTTGGAAAGATGGCTCAGTGGTTAAAAGCACTGGCTGTTCTTGCAGAAGACCTGGGTTCGAATCCCAGCACCCACATGGCAGCTAATGATCCATAACTCCAGTTCCAGAGGATCTGATGCCCTCTTCTGTCCTCCTCGGGCACTGCATGGTACACGTACACTTACACACATGCAAGCCTAACATTCATGCACATAAACAATAAAATTTAAAAATTATTTTACTCATATAGACGTCAGTTATCTTTGCTGCCAACTAATTTTACCAGGACCCTTTTAGTTTTACTAAGATTATAGTGGCCCTGTGGCCCCCAGCCTCTCACTCTTCACACCATGTGTAGCTCTCTTCACCCTATAATCAAGGCTGCCTGTGTCCAATAAAAGAAAAGCCACAATATGTGATTTCTTGAGACTCGGTCCTCAGGGGTGTTGTGGTTTCTACTCTCTTTTGATTGCCTACCTGCTCTGGAGGAAATGGCTGCCACTTTGTGAGAACTTGGGAGAACATGCAGTCAGACCTAAGGTAAAGTCATATACTGGAAAGAACAAAGGGCCAACTGCCAAGTGAATGAGCCACCTTAGCGCCGACCATCAGCCAGGGGTGCAGGATACATGTTATAACCCTGGCTAAGGCAGGACGACAATGAATCTGACACCTGGGCTAGGTAATGATCCTGGGTTATAAGACCCACACTGTCTCCAAAAAGTAAAAAAGAAAAAGTTAAAAATAAAGCAAAAATTGCATGGTGGCAACATGCCTTTAATCCCAGGATTTGGGGGACGAGGTAGAGGCAGGCGGATCTCTGTGAGATCAAGGCCAGGCTGGCTGACATAGCAAGTGTCAGGCTAGCTGGGGCTACAGGGAGGCCCTATCTCAAAAAGACCAAAAAAAAAAAAAAAAAAAAAAAAAAAAAAAAAAAAGCTAGCAAAATAATAATGAATACAGTAAATATTTAAAGATAAAATTATCTGGATGATAAACAACATCTTTGAGGGAACACAGAAATGGCTACATGGATAAAAGCACTTGCTGTGTAATCACAAGGACCAATTTGGATCTCAGCAACCATATAATAAGTTGAGTGTGGTGCCCATACACCTGTAACCCCAGAACTTTTGGGGATGGAGACGAGGACCACTGGGGCTCGTTAGCTGCTGGCCTAGTTTAAAAAGGGGAGCTCTACATTCAGGGTGAGAAAGGAGTAAGATGGAGAGTGATAAAGACACGTGACACCCTCTCCTGTCCCCCCAGACTAAAAACTGAGCATAACACTTCTGAAAATACAATGTGGTGACCCAAACTTTCCTAAATCCATAAATATAGAATATCTACATATATACATAAATATATAGACATTGAAACATCTAGAAATACTTTGCTTTCTTCCTCCTTTTTTTTGAGATTGGGTCTTACTATGTAGCCCAGGCTGGCCCTGAACTTGTGATGTTCCTACCTCAACTTCCAGAGTGCTGGGATCACAGGTGTGTACACCATATCTGCAGCAGCAAGAGACGCGTATCGGCCCCCACCTAGGCTGTCAACTGTAGCAACCTGACGAGCTCTTTTCAGGTGAAGCTGGAATTCTTTAGGTCCCAACAGAATTTCAGGACAAGTCAGTATGAAGATGTTTTAGTGTGGATTTAAGCAAGTGATATGGGGGACAGACACCATGTACAGAGAGTTAGAAAAGAGAAGGGAAGGAGGGCAAAAATTCTAAGAGTGTCCATCTTACTTTTTTATACAAGAATCATCCAAGAGATCAATCTTGTTCTGAACAAGCACAGTCGGTATATCTCCAACTTCAGCTACTACCTTTTCTCTCCAGCTGGAAATTGCTTCAAAAGATTCCCTGTCTGTAGTAGAATATACAAGCACACAAGCCTGGGCTCCTGTAAGATCACAAAGAAAATTGTACTAATAAAACAATTCTGTGTAGGGTAGGAACAACTTTTACTTATTCAAAACAACTTCTAGTTAATCAAGGTTGAACTCAACTTCTAGCATTTTGCTTTTATTTCAACATATTTCCTAATTAAAAAAAAAATCAGTTTTTATGAAGAACAGTATTTCTCAAACACTCGTGTCAAAATACATTCAAACTGTACATGTTATTCAAAATGCCACAAAATACGACACAATTCCATCATTAAAAAAAAAAAAAAAAAAAAAAAGCCCAAAAAGTAGAACAGTAAACTAAACAGGAATGGTAAGCTTTTGCTAAATTCTTCATGGTAAAATTCATCATTTGCTTATAGCACAGCTCTAACAAAGACCAGGGAAAGCAAACAAAATTTACCCAATCTGTTGCCTTTTTAGAGAATTGTAGTATTTTAGCTGCAGAATGTCAGTAATTCAAAAGAACAGCATTTGAGAACCAATACCAAAAGTATACAAACATGAAAGGCTTAATTTAGCTTACCTTATCAATAAGTCCCATTCTGTATCTCCAGACAATATCTTTATTAACTGTCCTGTTAAGCTAATGCTAGCTAAAATTAAAAACAGCAAACTTGAAGGGATTAAAGGCTCTGAGGGTCAGCTAAAGGTTTTGACAACATGGCACTGCTGTGGACTACTGGGAAGACAATTTTAATTAAGATGGTCCAGGAAACCATGAGTAAGCAGTAAAGTGACTCATTATGTGCCCACCTTTCTGGCAAGAAACCACCTTTTCGTGGTTCCCTTTAAAATGTCCTTGGAACCAAGGGCACAGATTTCACCCTGAGAAATAAAGTATGTTACATTTGCCAGCAGCTCACTCTGAGAATCTTTAATCTACAGGCCTTGCAACCCTCTGTCCCTGGCTCCCACACCACCTCCTAGAAAAGCTGTTTTGCCAGTGATTAGCTGTTGACTCACACACCATAGTGACAAAAATAGATGTGAAAATGATGAGAGAATGTCTTCCTCAGGCTCAAGAGAATTTCTTGGAATTAAGGTATGTTTTCTTTTTTCTTTTTTTAAAATATTTTATTTATTATTTTTATTTTATGTGTATAAGTGTTTGAGTGTTAAGCCTGCGCGTAGGTTAAGTGCATCTGTGTCATGCAATGCCCATGGAGGACAGAAGAGGCTGTTGGATTCCCTGGGACTGAATGTTACTCCTTCCAGGTCCCTCTGGTATTAAGAGTTTCCTTCTAGGACTCAAGACATGCTTGAGCTACCAAGACATTGTCAGGCCAAAACTAGCAATAGTTTATCACCAGACAGAATAGTATGAAAGCCAAAAACAGAAGGAAAAGCAGCAGTGTGATACTACCAAAGAAGCATGTGGCTTATCTGGGAAAACCCTCAATACATTAAGAAAAAGTTGAAAACTGAATACATAAAATTCAAAGACAAACCCAGAAAACTGAATACATAAAATTCAAAGAGAAACTCTTATTTAAGGGGGAGTAAAATAGAAGAGCTCATGTTACTATTATTAAATAAATGTATATTTACCTGAACTGTAATACATGGTAAAAACTACAAATAAAACATTTAGCCATACTTTTAAAGAATATCCTTTTTTAAAAACTTTAATGTGTATGAGTGTTTGCCTGCATGTATGTAAGCACATCCCTGTATGTCTGCTTGTAGTGCCTGCAGAGGCCAGAAGAAAGCGTCAGATCCCCTGGGACTAACATTAAGAATGACTGTTAGCCTCCATGCGGGTGTTGGAAACCAAATATGGGTCCTCTGCAAGGGCAGCCAGTATTCTTAATCCAGGCAAATCACCTCTCCAGCTCTAAGAACATTCTTTATTAGAAAAGTTTCTGTTATTTGTAAGCCTAGAATTTTACATCCACTCAACTGTCATTTAAATAGAAAATAGCATATTTTCTTAAAACCCAAAACCTTAAAGTAACTGCATGATTTAAAAAAAAAAAAAAAGAAAAAAATTGCCTGGCATGGTGGTGCACGCCTTTAATCCCAGCACTCGGGAGGCAGACGCAGGGTGATCTCTGTGAGTTCAAGGCCAGCCTGGTTTACATAGTGAGTTCCAGGACAGCTGGGGCTACAGGGAAACCCTGTCTCAACCCCCCCCCCAAAAAAATCTAAGTAGCTAGTTTAAGGAAGAGCAGAAAGATGGGAAAAATTATGGATACGTGAGAAAGAAAGAGGCCCTTACTCAGGAGCCTAGTTGAAGCCTCTCAGCTAAAAATCACATCTTCAGCATAATTAACAATTGCTCTGAAGATACTAATGTAGAGGCTATATTTCTTTTATATAGAATATTTTCAATTAAGAATAAATAGTAATTAAATAAGGCCTGAACATATGACCTTGGGTAGGGCCTCATACCTCTCAGGGATATTTTCTGGAATCTTAGACAAGACTATTAACTTTGTTTCCAGTAAAGATAACCCAACTTGGGTGTAATGGCTCAGATCTCAGCAGACCACCAGAAAGTGCCCTCTGACCTCCATCTAGCAGAGGGCCTGAGAACCCAGGGGACTGCCTGAGAGCCCCCAGATCCTGTCTCCACATGGTGGTCCTTTTAGTAAGATGATGCTATACAGAAGTCCCTTTTGCATGAAATAACTACCATCATCACAATTTCAGCTGGGCCTGATTGCTAAACATTGTCACAATTGGGCTTGTTACCAATTGTGCTCATTCATTCAAGGAGGGCCAAGCAGTGTCACTGGACCCTTAAGAGTATCCAGCCACTCTTACTAGCCAACTGTATGTAATTTGACCCTAATCACACATGGCCTCCTGGATTTGGGGAGGGCTAAAGTACATAATCTGCAGAAGGCTAGGAAGAGAAGGCATGACCCATGCTGGGTAAAGGTTACCCAGTGTGCATACCCTCAGGTCACACATACACCTCAGCAACTCCTCAGTTATCTCGAAACCTTTGAGAGGGAACTGACACTGATTCTAACCACTCCAACAGCTATCAAAATACCTGAAAGCAAATCCGGAATCCATCACTCAGGAATCCAGCCTTGGAAGACAAAAGAAAAATGAGGAAGAACCAATAGAGGGATGCTTTCGGAAGCCCTTGTCAAGAAATTCCAATGGACTCTTATATGAAATTTGAAAATTGCCCTGTTCTGACTTTTTTCTAGTTCCCTGTCTAGAACTTGTAATGTTACTTACTCTTACCTTTACTTCTCCTTCACATCTCCTATTCACAATTCAAGGGCTTTCTTTTCCCCTTAGAAGAATTAAGCAATTTGGGATTCTTTTAGATAGACCCAATTGCTTCACCCTGCTTGGAAGAAGCCAGAGAGGTCTGTGTCCCTATTTCCTATTGGCAATTTGGGTAACCCCTTCAGAGAATGGCATGATAATAGGAGGTAAGAATTGGCTAAGCAGTCAGGGTAAAAAGACCCCAAAGAGAAGCAGACAGTTTCTTGGCTAAAAGTCAAAATGTCCTTGGGCCTGTTAGCAACATACTCTGTTCCAAAGGCCAAAAATGTCAAAAGTATTTGGGAGCATGTATCTAATCCTTAAAAAATTTTAGGGTTACCTCTTTAGAGAGGGGGATGGTAGAGTACCCAAAAGCCCCATAAAAATATATAAATGAACGAAGAGAAAAAAAAGAAAAAGAAAAAAGTGATGGGGAGATGTGGGAGGTGTTGGAAAGGAGAGAATGGGCATGGATTTGATCAAAACACCTTATATGTATGTATGAAATTCTCAAAGTTTTTGTAAAAGTTAAAAAAAAAAACAGAAAAAGATAACCCAACTTCTTGCATCTCTAGGAGCTATAGCTTTTCCTTATTAATTGTAATCCTATCAGGCTCCTTTGAGAAGCCACTCTATAGGTCTCATTTAGGTTCCTTACTAACCCTTTGAAGACAACAGCATCAGAAACCACCCAAAAGGAACTTATGGCAACTGTAAAGACAATGAAGCAAGACTTCCAACAGAAGCCCACAGCCCTTGCTGCTGGGTTCCCAGCAACTCTCATTCTAAGATCTTAGCCCTTGTGTTTAAAAATCTTATTAAAATCTCTTTTAATAAACTCCAATTCTACTTCATACTGACTTGTTCTGAAATTCTTTTCCATGCTGTGACCAAGGATCTGGCTTTAAGTGAGGTCCCCCAAAATGAAGGGAACACTTCAAGTTACTGCCAGTGACAGGGTGGAGCTGTACCTCTCCTGCCATTGACAGCGCAAGAAGGAAAATCTGGAAATGCTCAGTGTTGTTTTAAAAATAAAGGAACAAGCTGGGTGGTGATGCATGCCTTTAATCCCAGCACTTGGGAGGCTGAGGCAGGTGGGTCTCACAGAGATCCAGGCCAGCCTGGTCTACATAAAGAGTGCTGGGTCAGTGGGAGCTATACCGAGACACTGTCTAAAAAAGACCAAATAGTAATAAAAATTAATAATGATAATAAAGGAACAAAGAATAAAACACACCCTCTCTCCAATTATTTAGGTAGGTGACAGCTGCAGAGGCCAAGGGACAGCCAACAGACTGGAAGATGTAATGTTGATGCAATAGTTCAAATAATCTAAGGGAGCAAATAGGAAATGTAGCAGACACTGGCCCCAGACATATTTCCTACCCTCCAGGTTGTGAAGCAGAGGTGGAAGCCAACTCTGCTTATTACAAGTTTACTATCTCAAGCAGATTCCTCTACTTTTGTGCCTCAAGGGTTTTTGTTTTTGATAGGGTTCCAATCCAGGTGACCTCAGACCCAGAAACCATAAGACCCCTAAGAGGAACTAAATCAGCCAGCTCCCAAGTGATAGATCAAAAGTTGCCGTATGATGAATAGGGATGATCAGGAGAAAGCAGAGTTTATTAGCAAAGGAACACATGGGACAGATTCCCTTCTGGGCAGGGAAAATATCTGCCCCGGGTCGTGAGCTGGGGTCTTTTAAGGGGGAGGCTTCTGCTTCCTGCAGAAGGTGGGAAGATGTTTTTTTTTTTTTTTTAAAGTT